TTGTTTTTGGGGAAAAGGGGGATAAAAAAAAAAAAAAAAAAAAAACTGGCCTTAAAAACTGAGGCATGAGGTCTGACAGCTGTCACCCCACTGCCTGAGAGAGACCCCCCACGGCGCTCAAGGGAGCAAACACACGAGTAAATCTCAGGGGCATATGAAGCCCCACCCAGGAACTGAGCTGCCAGGTCCCACCACTAACTGCTAGAGACCAGGGTGGGGCCCGGCTGCGTTTCGAAGGCCAGGGCACGTCTGAGAGGGCACCAAGGCACTGCTAATCACAGCACAGGGAGTCATGGCCAGAGCTGTCCCAGATACCTGGACGCTGCTCGGTCACCGGGAAACCTACACCTCCAACACGGCCAGCGAAGGGGTCCTCCCTTCCCACACTGCCTGGCCGCACCCACACACCAGCAGCACTCCAGCTGCCAGCTCACAGGCAGGGTGGTGCCCACCAGCCGCCCCAGACGCTGGCGACGCAGCTGCTCTGGTCCCTCTGGGGATCCCCCGACCTGCTCCGCACCCAGAAGGCGCCTGAGACTACAGCTGCAGGAAGCCCAGGAAACCTAAAGACAACCCCTTGGCAGAAAGGGAACGGCTCCAGCAGGCCGGGTGACGCCTACTACCACCCCACATGTGACTTCCTCTCGAGCAAGTCGTGGGAAGGCTGCCGACACCCACAGCCCGAGGGAAACCGCTGCCCAACGCCCGTGGCGGCTCTCCGCTCACCTCTGACACGGTGCAGGCCAGGGCTGTCTGAGACGAGGATCCAGCCCAAACACGTCGTCACAGCACGAGGCCGGCAGTGCGGGCACTGGCTCTCGGCTAAGGTCGGGCTCAAAACGCCTCATTTTAAATAGGCATGACGGGACAGCAGGGGTACAGACGTTAAGGCAGCTGGATCCCAGACAGCCGACTGAGCAGTTCGAGTCCCAGATACAGCAGCTTGCAAAGCACGCTGTGCCTGTGGGCATGCCCAGAACCCTGGCAGGGGAGTGAAGGGGAAGGGGCTGCAGCATGGCCGTCCCCCTGGGCCGGTTTCTCGCTCCCTCTGACCGCCTCCCTCTCATGAGCACACACACCCTACGGCAAAAACTGAAGACGCAGATAAGTAGGTCAGCAGGCACCATGGAGGCACAGGCCTGAAGGAGAAGTGCCATCTACATCACCTCCCATAAAGGGACAGTCAAGACCACTAGGAGAGCAGGAGAAGGACAGAAGCAAACGTCCAGCTTCAAACCCTGGGTGGGCGGGTCCAGCGTAAAGAAGCGTCCGTCGGGATCACGTCAAAGAGAAGTAGAGCACAACTCTCAGCCTTCCAGCAGGGGCCATGGTGCGGTTCCCGTCTAACTGTGGTCCCCGCGTGGTACCGAGGTGAGAGCCACGGCGTGGTTCCCTCTAACTGTGGTCCCCCATGGGCTGCCGAGGTGAGGGCCACGGCATGGTTCCCGTCTGTGGTCCCCCACAGGCTGCTGAGGCGTGGGCCATGACGTGGTTCCCATCTAACTGTGGTCCCCGCGTGGTACCGAGGTGGGAGCCATGGCGTGGTTCCCTCTAACTGTGGTTCCCCCACGGGCTGCCGAGGCGAGGGCCACGGTGTGGTTCCCGTCTGTGGTCCCCCACAGGCTGCCGAGGCGTGGGCCATGGCGTGGTTCCCATCTAACTGTGGTCCCCCGCGGGCTGCAGAGGCAGGGGCCACTCGCCAGCAGCTGGCTCACTCTGGGGCAGCCTGGGTATGTGGGAAGCCCTCTCCGGGGGGCCCTGAAAGCCTCCGCCCATCTGTCTTACCATCGCACTTTGTTGCATGTCTGAGTGGCACCGAGAGGCGAGCCGGCCACCATGGGGACTTGGATAGGGCTGTGCTGCTTGTTTGTGACCAGGTCCAGCTTCTCTTCGAGTGACTTGCAGGTGGCCTCCAGCGCCTGCAGCTTGGCCTCGATGCTATCCAGCCGCAGGCAGATGGTCTGGTTAATGGAGTACAGGAACGACTGGAGGTGGAAGGAGAGAGTCAGGAGGGGTCTCGGACTTTGGGGAGCTCTCTGGGGACCCCAGAGAGCTGCTTCCCGACCTGGCCGCACCTGCTCCAGGACACCCACGCTGCATCCAGCTGGAGTAAACAATTCCGACCCTCTGTATTTAGGATGGGACTGCCCAGCCCTGACTCTGCCCCGCACAGCTGCCGTTCCTGGCTACGGTGGGCAGTACGTCGGCACATCCCTCAGCACAGCCCCACAGGAAACCAGCCCAGCCTCTAACGGGGGAGGCAGACTCCACCGAACAGCCACGCAGTGAGCACGACCACGGCACGGCGGCTGCCGCGGGATGCAGGACAGGCGCTAAAGTGCGGTCCTGGGGTTCCCAGGGCCGCAAGCAGCAAGCGAGCCGACTAGTGGCCAGGGGTCGTGTCCTGTCAGACTCCTGTGGCTGACCACAGCGGGCAGCAGTGACAGGACTCCAAACACCGGACTCAAGCGAGTTCAAAGGTCCTAAAGTGACGATGGGTCGGGCACTCCCCAGGAGCCCCATCTAGCAACCATCAGGGCCCAGGTGACCCTGGTGACAGGCACAGAGACCTGCTGTGCCTGGGGAAAGGTACGCAGCAAGGAGTCCTCACGCCTCTTAAAGATGGCCTACGGGTCTACAGCAAGAGGCCACCTTCTAAAGGACCTTTAACCTTCACACGCTTCCAGGAAGGAGGCGTCGCACCTACATGTGGCAGGTGGAACGGTGACCGGCAAAAGTAACGTACCCACTTCCTGAACCCCAGGGCCAGTAAGTCGGCCCTATTTAGAAAAGGGGTCTTTGCAGGTGTAATTAAGTTAGTGAGCTTATTGGGACTGGGGTGGGCTGCACATCCAGGGAAAAGGCCTTAAAGGAAAAGAGAGGGGAGCACGTGAAAACAGACAGAGCTGGGAGCCACGTGGCTACGAGCCCAGGAACGCACAGAGCCCTCAGGGGCAGGGAGGTGGGAAGGTGCCTCCCGAGGAGCACTGAGGGAGGGAACATGGTTGAGCCCCTAGCTCCTGCAGGCATCAACTCCTGCTGTTTTAGCCCCCAGTGTTTGGGGCTGGCTCTGGCAGCCCAGAACAAAGAAAGGCATGCCGCCCGCGCCCGCGCCCGCGCCCGCGCCCGCGCCGTTGATTTCCAACCGCTGGCGTTTCAGAGCGGGCTCGTCCTCGTCGGTCACTACATGATTCTCCAAAACAACTGAAATCAGCGACAGGCACAGACGTGAGCGTCCACACGGAGAGGGCAGAGAGACTTCTGACAGACACAGGCGCTCCGATACCCTGCCCCCAGACGAGGAGTGGCCGGCCCTGTCGTATTTTACCGGTCCTCGTTTACACTCGGAGTTCTCAGGCAGAAAGGAGGAGCCCTCCTCAATCCCGAGGAAAACTGAGAGAGCACGTAAGTTACTTCCCTGGTGTGTCCCTGAGCCCGAGGCGGCCCATTCACTCAGTGCCCTGTGGAGCTGGCCCATGAGTTTCAGCATGACAGTCCAACCCAGAACAGCAGCTGCCTCTTGGCTTTGAGATAAGCTTGTCTGCTGGCTGGCTCCTGCCACACCGCCACGCTGCGAACACCCACCTTAGCGGGCGTTGGCACTGTGCGTGCTGGGTGTGGCGAAGCCCAGCCCGCGGCAGGGCAGGGGCAGCTTTCAGCTGACCTGAGGCTCTGCAAGCATCAGCGACCCGCCTCCGTTCCAGGCCACTGCAGTATGGTCTAAACCCCCTTCCTTTCACGTAAAACCAGCTGCAAACATTCTAGTCAAGACAGTCAAAAATCAAGGGCCAAAACCATCCTCCATCGGTCATGTCAGCAAACCACGCCGCCATAATTACAATACTTCTAGTCCTTTTCCCTAGACCTTGTCCAGCGTTAAATACTGGGGTGTTTGCAGTGACAGGTAGAATTTTACAGCCCACGTTTCTTATCAAGCTTTATGCCATGAACACGTTGTCATTCGCTGCAGTGTCTTGTTCTTTCTCATCGCCGTCGGAAACGCCCAAAGCAAACGCTCGGCATGCTCAGAGCCTCTGCACACCTGTGTCGGCGCGGGCTCCGGGGATCTGCGCCCGCAGTGCTCAATAAGCAGTCAGGAACTGTGGTTCCCAGCCACGGAAGGAAGAGACAAGACGTGATCCAGACAGGGATGATTTCTCTAAGCCTTTCTGGACCAGTCTACACAGAGAATTTATTTGGGAAGCAGGCTGTCAGAATTTTAAGTTAAATACTGCTTAAAATGTATATGACAGGGACTAGCAGTTGGTGTAATGGCTATGTCGCTGGACTCCCATGTAATCGACCACGGTTCGAGTCCCGGACCCAGTGGCTTAAACTCACACTGGGCATGTGTGCATACATGCCCAAATCCCAAGAGGAGAAGGGACTGCGGCGTGGCCATCACCCCTGAGGACTGTATCTCACTTTCTGTCTCTCTGTCTCTCTTTCTGGCGAGCGCGCACATCCTATAGCAAAAACTTCTCCTCCAAAAAAATGGATATAACAGAAACATTTTCCTTTAATAACACTGCGGATATTTCTAAAACAAAACTGCACCTCACATGACCGGAACATGAAGAAGTATTTTAAACATGCAGCAACCGTGCCTTCGCGCTCCTCTGTGACTGCTCATTTAATTCTACGCTATTTATGTACCCGCCCCTTTTTCACCACTATTACCCCAGAAGTAGTTTTCTCAATGAACATACCAAACAGACCATCCATGTAAAATAGCATAATCTCTTATCATTTTTTTCTTTTTTTTTCTTATGAAATTTTGATAATTATCTTTTTTGAGGGCAAAACTGTTAGCATTGGGACCAGCAGGTAGCATAATGGCTATGTCACTGGACTCCCATGTCGTCAACCACAGTTCGAGTCCCAGACCCGGCAGCTTAAACTCACACCAGGCACATGCGTGCGTGCCCAAGATCCCGAGAGGAGAATAAAGGAGAAGGGATTGCGGCGTGGCCATCCCCTTGGGGGCTGATTTCTTGCTTTTGTGTCTCTCGCCCTCTAGCAAACCCTCTCCAAGGGAAAAAAAAAAATCAGTCAGCATTTAAGTTCTGACTGTCCTAAAAGAATAACCAGGCAACCAAACTGCGGGTGGCTCCGCTACATGCACTGTCACTTCAAACTTCACAGAGTTACAAAACGCCTAACACTTTATACGCCAAAAAAAGAGAAAGCCTATTAAGAAATCTTTTTAAAATACTAAGTGTAGATAAAATGTCTTCATAGATGAAGTCCAGAAAATGTAGGGTTTCATTTCTAAAGAGTCCCTTTAAAACAAACATTTAGTTGAGGTTTCCAAGTAGATTTGTGCCTTTAATATCAGTAAGAATAATTAATTACCAACCTTAGCAAAAGTATAGTACAGGAAAAAATTCTTCTCAAGCACAGTTGGTTAAAAAAAAAAAAGTAGGAAGACACTCTGGAAGACATGACAGTATCTTACAAAATGTAAACATGCACAGCAATTCTGCCTCCGGGAACCTAACCCTAAAAAGCACCTACGGATTTACACACCAGGATCTTCCCACGGGCCCGACAGAAAGCAACGCGGACCACAAGAACGGCCGGCGCAAAGGGATGCACTCGGGCCGGCAGGTGACGTGGTACTATACCGGCTGGATCCCTCATAGCTCACGGCGCAGCTTGAGTGTCAGACCTGGTGGCTTGGAAAACACGCCAGGCACACGTGCGTGCATGCCCAAAATCCCAAGAGGAGAATGGAGAAGGGACTGCAGGGCGACCATCCCCCCAGGGGGCAATTTCTCACTTTCCTGTCTCTGTTGTTCTCTGGCAGGTAGCACTCCCTATGGTCAAAAAAAAAACTTTAAAAACATACATAAAGTAAACGCCACGTGGCTCTCAAATGGAAGCAGGGCAAAGCCCCCGTGCAACCGAGGGAGCAGCCGCGAGGAAGGGTGGCTGCCGTCGGCGCCGCGGGTCCCACCAAGGCCAGATGCCTGTGTGCAATCCGAGGAGCCCGGGGGGACGGGGCGGGGAGGAGGTTCCTCTCTCTAGATCTGGGGTTTCCACACACAACACGTGCCACCCTCTCTCCTGCCATTCCAGGGACGGGCACCCCCGGTGCAGCTCTCCGTTTCCAAACGACCGGCAGAACGACGTCGCGCCACCGGGGGCCCACGGCTCTGTACCTGGGTGGTCGGGACTCAGGTCGTCCACCGCAATCTGGACCACATCCGCCAGGTCCTGCTCGGACATCATCCAGAAGGACAGAAGAGTGGCCCGCCAGTGAGCACGAATCCAACCCACGGGACTGGGTTCCCAGACCTGCAACACACACGCGAATGGAGAGGACGAGGGTTAGAGACCGAGGTGTGGGAAATGACGGAGACTTACTGCCCGCGGGTTCTCGAGAGCACCTAACAGTTTGTGCATGCGCTCGCCAGAGAGAGGGGCAGTGAGAAGCACCCCGTGGGAGTGCCGTACCTCGGTCCCTTCTTCTCCCCCTCCCGTGGGGACCTGGGAACTGTGCACATGCAGCCAGAGCGGTTTTCTGGCCGGGGGCCTGGCACTCAAACCGTGTGGTAAGCAGGTGGGACCCGGCTGCATTAACACCGGACCACGAAACTGGCCCCTCCGAATTCTTAAACAGAGGGTTCTTCTCGCCCTAAGCCGCCAAGATCGGCTCGCAGACGTGACTTGCCAGGCGCTGGACTAGCCCCTACCTGGCCTTGCACTTTGTCACACTGTTCTTCATGCCACCTCCAAAGTCGCCTTCCTAAAACAGGCTTGGGAATGTCGTCCTGAGCCGCTAGGCTGTCGTCACTGCTCCCTATGGCTCTTGGCCCCACCACGCTGCCGGGGTTTCTCCCCCCTAACGCCGCCAAGATCGGCTCGCAGACGTGACTTGCCAGGCGCTGGACTAGCCCCTACCTGGCCTTGCACTTTGTCACACTGTTCTTCATGCCACCTCCAAAGTCGCCTTCCTAAAACAGGCTTGGGAATGTCGTCCTGAGCCGCTAGGCTGTCGTCACTGCTCCCTATGGCTCTTGGCCCCACCACGCTGCGTACACCCCGGGAGCTGGCAACCCAGCCACGGCTCACCACGGGCTATGCCTGGGGTACACCGGCACCCCCAGACACCCCCCACCCGCACACAGTGGCAGTTCCTCGCCTTCGCTCCCTACCACATCAGGGCCAGTCCAGGCTCCTGGGACACTTGGCTGAGGCCTCAAAAGACCTGACTCTCCAAAGTAAAAACGGGGCCACAATATCCAAGCTCTGCTCCGTCAACACACAGGATATCCCAGAGAATCCAGAAATCAACGCCATCATAAATTCTCAGAGCGGGCGTTCCGTCCTTTGTAAACACACGTTATAAAGTAAGTGGTTTACAGGACACTGCCCGCTCGGTGGGGTGGCCCGGCACGGCTCCTCGGCCAGCCGGCACCAGCCCAGCTTGCTGTACCCACCCGTGGCTCCCGTGGCAGGCGGGCAGGGGGCTCGGACCCACAGTGTGGCTACGGTCTGCTCCGGCAGATGCACAGGTAGATCAGCAGCCCTCACACGGGCTCCTACGTCCTAGATAGTGTGGCCCCACCTGTCCGGACTCAAGTTCTGCAGCTTAAACACAGCAGCTCCAGAGCTCCTAAGGGACTGTACCCTACGAGCAGGGAGCCAAGTGCTCGGTCGCAGTCCTGGAAAAGCAAACACTTCTCCATAAACTGATGAGCACGGGCGGACCTCAGCGCCGAAGGTGTTCCGGTCCCTCCCCATAACTTCGACAAGACGCAATAACCGTGAGCTCCAAGGGCCCTTGGCCGGGCAGGGAGCAGTTACAACTGCGGTGGGGAGCACGGGAGCACAGGGGGCTATGGCCACGCCTTTTAGAAGTCCACCTCCGGAGAGATGTGGACACACCCATCCCTCTCCACCCCCGGAGAGCCATGGACACACGCGTCCCTCTCCACCCCCGGAGAGCCGTGGACACACGTGTCCCTCTCCCCCTCCGGAGAGCCGTGGACACACGCGTCCCTCTCCCCCTCCGGAGAGCCGTGGACACACGTGTCCCTCTCCCTTGACTCCCTCCTCAGGATACTGCAAAACCAAAGCCTGGGTTCACTGTGATTGAATCAGACGAATCAGGTGACAGACCTCCCACTAAACCCCCATGCAAGAGCAACTGGGGGCAGGGCACAGAGGGCTGCAGGACATGTAGTGCCATGTGCACAAGGCAGATGCCAGGTGAAGGCGGCAGGGGAGCCAGCAGGCACGAGGGCCCACAGAGGTGTCCACAGCCCATTGTCCTGCCACCTGGAGGCCTCGAACTACCCACAGCTCCCGGCTAGGGTTGCCTCCCACCCTCAGATGCACCGTCTCTCACGTGTTCTGCCCCCCCCTGTTCCCCACCTCTCACCGCCACCTCCCACCCTCAGATGCACTGTCTCTCACG